CTGAGTGCTTTGAAGAAATCAGGATGGAATAGAAATGAAGAAATCTGACATCCCATGGCAGAATGTGTGTGTTTGTAGGGGGGAAAGCGTATAACTCTCAAGTGCTGGAGGTCTTCCCATTCATCTAAAGGCAGCATGCCGAGTCTCTAGGAGTTAAAAATACAAAGAAACAATAATCTCATGATGGTCAAACATGCAGAGATCTTAGTAAGAAAAAATATGTCTCCTTTATTATTACCTTCAACACAAGCTCCCAGTCCTGTTGTAAAGCTTCTGCATGTCCCACCTGATTCTGGACACATCCTCTTCATTAGCCCTGTTACTCACTCTCCACACAGTATCCTACCTTCCCACATTGAGCCATGTCCATCCCAAGAACTGCAAACACAAGACTGTTTGCTTTCTGTGCGTTGTACAGCCTGTTTTCTCTCGCTTTGGACAGCCATCATTTCTCACCCACTCCCACCTCTTTCTGCACTCTCGGTTTTTCTTTAGTGGCTGACTTCTCTGCATCTCATGCATCCTTGATTCCCATCCAGAAGGCCATCCACCATTCCCAACCTTGACAGTGCTTCAAAACAATCTCATGACAATTTTGAGGTCAATGCTCACTAATTTCTGAAGAGCTTTTTGTGGCAGCCTCCCTCTTCCAACCCTTGTGCTGGTAAATGTGTTTTTAACCCATTAATTATCCTCTTGGTGTCACTTCACAGCTAAGCAGTGGTAACCTTGCAGGCTATACAACCTGTAACAGCCTGGAGGGGCAGCCACCTCTTGCAGAAATGCAAACGGAAAAGCAACATGCTCCCGCTAGCCTCACATAGGGCTAGTATGTGTGCAGGACATGGGCTCCAACCACACGCTTCATCGTGCTTCCTTCAGTAAGGACTGTTTCCTACGCATTTGTGAGGGGCTTGACCAGCCTCTGGTAAATGTATTCAGGGCCAGGCTGTTTCTGAAAGGCACAGGACATGGACTCTTCATATCTGGAAACCTTGAAACTGCTGGCTGCCAGAAATCGGAAGGGTGCAATGGAGAACCTGCTGCATGAGCTAATGGGTCTGTATCTTCCCTGAGCAGAACAGCCAGAGGTTGCTGCGTGAGCTGATAAAGCCACCTTTATGTTCTTGTAGGAAGCAACTGTATGGACTCCAATAAAAAACATTCAATTGCAGAAGATGAAATACATTTGGTTTATTTCTTTCTAAAGTTTGTACATATACATATATCATTATACATATGTGAGATCCTTCACTAGGGTTGCTTGATTTCAATTACATAAAAATTATTGGTAAGCTTGTAGGCTCTCTGTTGCCCGTAAGCAACATTTATTCCAACTTATAAAAACACAGAGGAACAGAGTTATAGTCAGAAACATGGACACAAGAGAGAAGTCTACTTTATATCTCACAGTTTCAATACATCAAAGGCGAATTATTTGTCTGTATACCGTAGGCTTACTTTATCAGCAATGATAAAATAGAGGAAAATATTTATATACAGTCACCTCAAGTGAAAAATAAAGCAATGTAAACTTAAATTCCAAAATATTATTTTAAATGATATAACAATATCCCCAAAAGTCCTCTTCCAAGGGGAAAAGGACTGATTAAGTGCCTTCATTTATCAGGAAATGATCATTCTAGTACCAGTTATATGAAGCAGAATAAGGGAGGGCATCCTAAGATACCTGTAGAAAAAGAGTGACAAGTCTGCTTCAGGAAAGCATCTCTGTGTAAGCCAGTATATGTTTAAGTCCTTATGGACATCAGCAGCACGTGGAAACATCTCCCATGAACCAGGGCTTGACTAAGTCTGCACAGCTCTGACTCTGACCACTGAGGAGTATGCTTTTCTGGCCATGCATATTCCCAGGAACAAAATGGGGTGCCCTGGTGGTAGGACAGCCTCAAACCCAAGACGATGACCACCTCAGGAGTCAGAACAGCAAGTTTCACACTGCTGGAAAAGATTTTGTGATTACCTCAATGCTGCTTTACAGCAGACCAAGAAGTTACCACAAAGAAGAGAGACCGGGACTGCGTCTCTAGTGTGTTGTATGAAAAACACTCCAGCGAGTCAGTGATGAGAGTAAAGTGAGTTCAAGGTTACCAGAAAGTAGGTTCCTACACTTGACTAAAGGGATAGGAGGTCACACCAAGGAAAGATTTTGCAAGGGCTGCTGTCAGGCCCTGTAAGATCTGCACACAAGAGATGCACAGGGTGTGGGCAAGCACAAGTGCAAAATGTTTTTCTGCACTACCACTACTACAGTTAGTCTTTCATATGAGTACCACACAGCTATAACTGAAAATTCAGTCCTTTTTCTTGTCCTAAAGGAAGCAACACAGCAACAGCTCAGGCAGAGGGAAAATGACATTTTCCCAACTGTGACTCTGAGTGTGATGGTCTTACCCTCATCTTCCCACTACATCACCATAGGAGGCAGGTAACCCCATGGACAAGCTCAGTGCCTGAAAAAGGATTACAGGATCACAGCTCGGCCAAAGCAAGGTGATAGGGACGTGGCTCTTCATTTCATCTTGAGCTGCAGTCTACTCATGTCTCACTCCTGCAAGACACAATCGCTCTGGCTACCATCCAGTGAAGTACAAAGGCAATGGCTTCACTGAGGTTGCTTAACTGATTCAAGGTAACTTGCACAAGGTAACTCCAGGTAGGAATTCCACCCACAGGCTTTGCTTTCCTTTCCAGGGAAGCAATCCTAGTATTGCCCTCACTAGAGTGCAATAGGAAAACTGGGTTTCCTCATGTCTTTTTACTTAGACCAGCAACCTGTTAAAAGGTTGCTTAAACCTTCAAAGAGAAACCTCTCAAAGGCATACAAGATGCCCAAGAGAAATATTTCAGGTCTGCAGCTTTTCTTTTTCCTGCTGATGAGCCAGACACTCTTCTGGAAATCTGTACAGTTGCAGAAACAAACTCTCACTACCACTGTATGATCGTATCTGCAGGAGACATCACAGGCACCTGTCCTGCTTGGACGTTTTTGGACATGATGTCCCCTTGCTGAATTTCCAGAGTGAGGTGAACATTTTCAGGAGTAAAGCTGTGTGTTAGATCCCGAGAGCGAGACTTTCATAAGTCAGCATGGATGCTCCTGGTGCAGGCATCAGCCAACATCAACAGGGAAAGAGTTAGCCTTATGTTAAGATATAGCAGAAAATCCCACCCAGTAATCCTTGCTTAGACTCTCCTAAATATAAGCCTTTGCTTTTGACACACAGGACAACAGGCAGCCCCTGGTGGACAACACATGGAGATCAAGGCAGCTCAAGGGATACCCTAAATCTGCAAAAGCTCTGATGACTGTTTAACCTAATTTCAGAACTACAACAACAAATAACCTAACAAAGTTTGCAGCTGCTTAAGTGCGTTGACCAAAACAAGCCCCAGAAAAGAACGACAGCAGGCTTTAGAGTGCTGAGCCACAGAAGCCATACTATACCTATGAAATACATACACACATCTATAGGCATCACTGTAACATGTTCACCAAGTAATGTAAAAGCCTCCGATTGTACCTCACGCAAACAGTAGTGATCTTAAAGTTTTCAAACTGTCAGAAACTCTGTTCTTTAAGCCAAGTTATAATCCCAGCCTTGAGTAAGAGGACACAGTTCTAATGAATACAAATTCCAAAACAAAAAAACAAAAGCAAACAAACAAAAAAAGAAAATAACAAAAATCCCCACACAACCCACACGTCTTCTTCTCCTGCAGTCTTTCGGAATTTGAAAGCACTGAGCATGAGGTTTCCATAAGCACATAAGTGACATAAGACTTGAATCACTGATAAGAGTTTGCCTTGTGCAGTGTCACAGACTGGATATCATTGACCTCCCTTATTCCAGCAAGAGGCTCAGGGGAGTCAGAAGATTTTGCATCAAGCAAGTCTCCATGGCAGCTTGGAAACAGCAGTGAAGCTGAAACCTTGCCTGCTTACACAAAAATACCCTCTTGCACTGGTCTTATTTAGGTGAATTACGTCCAAGACCACTGCTATAGAGTGGCTACTAATTACAATGGTTTATGTCAGGGGAAAAATCCTGCCCTTGTAGTCTTAGCAATTTCGATCTTTTCCTTGCTAAGTGATGTACTTTTCCTTGGTCCAAATAAACTTCTGGCCAGTACCCCAGCTGATCCCTGGCACAGATTTAATAGCAGATGCCATGGGAGGTCCCCCATTGTTTAAACATTTATAATTTTTAATGACTGCTCATCGTTCAAATGGGAGGACAAAGTACACTTTGGGCTGGCCTAAATTTGCTCCTCCTGACCATGGGAACAAAGTCAGGTCAATGGTGCGGCTCCTGGGAAAGCTGTTGCTCCCATTCGCTAAGGGAAATGCTCTAATAAATAAAAAGGAGCCTCGACACAGCTAACAAAGTGGATGGGCATGGTACGTTCTCTCAGGCAGGGCTGAGCCTGCCTCCTTTCACTGTTGCCAACAAGAGAGCAGATACTCCCAGATGGCACGCAGACATATTTCACTGGGACCTGTCCTCCTTGCTCCCATTTAAACCAGCCTCCTCATAACACGACTGTAGCACCCCTGGTTGAGGGTGCTGCTGTCACAAGGGAGAAAAGCAGCAGGTGGTAGGGACAGCTCCTCAAGCAGCACAGTGCAGGTGGAAAAGGAAGCCAGCCTTTCTAATTACCCCCAGCACTGAAGGCAATGCTCAAACACACATTCTCCAGCAGGTGACCAGCCACTGGTATTCCTACAGTATCACTGTCCTACGCACTGGTGCTCAGCTTAGGCAACATCATTTCTACAGAGGCTGACAAAGCCTCTTGCAGCTGCAGCAAATGTTCATGTCCCACATGGAGAAGCTGCAGGTGAAGCAGCTTGCTAGACTACACCTGTGCTGCTGGGAGACCTCTGGGAGAGAGGAGATGCCAGGCACACTGCTTCTGTATGCACTAAAAATACCCTCTGAAGAGCACAGATCAGCTCTTTCAAAGAAATTTCTGATACAGCCCCCCAGGCAGCCTAGTGAATGGAGCCTGGGGGCACACGCTGAGGAGCTCTGGTTGTGCTCTGAGGAGAAACGAGGACTTCATAACTGCCCTCTTCAGAGCAGATGTGACATCCCAGAGCCTGGGGAGAGCAATACCAGGGAAAGTTTAAACCAGCAGCAAGCTGTAAGATTGCTGGAGATAAAGTGTATATACTACCTTTGTCTCTGCAACAGCAGATGGTGATTCTGATAACCTGGATACCTCTGTGCTTGAGGGACACTGGTTAAAATGGCCTTTCTTTTAATTATTTTTCTTTTCTTCCCCACTTGCAAAGGCTGGAAGATGTATGGCCTGATTTGCAAAGTTCCCAGTTCCTTGCAAAACAGCATTTCAAACTTTCCCCACAGCATGGGTTGCCTCTGCCTCCAAGACTTTCGGAAAGGAGACCAGGAATGTCTCAAGTGTCTGGTCTGAGTGTGGGAGGGGGACCTTGTATCCCTGCAGCTAACGCTAGAGGATTACAGCAGTCTGAAACTCTGTCTCACACCTCCCAGCTATAACTGTGGCTGGAAACCAGGCTACCAAGGAGCAGAATGAGAAAGCTGTTCACAGGGTTATCCATTCAACGCAGCACTGCTTCAGAGCAGGTTTTCTCAAGGCAAGATGGGACAGTCAAATTTTCTGGATTTCTGCAAGCATGGAAGGAAAGAGACCTGTTATACAGAAGCAGCTGAGGTGCTAAGATGACAGACAGGAGCAGCTTTACAGAAAAGGAGGAGGAGCTGTCAGACTAACTGTGATAAGGCCAAAATTGAATTAGTGATGGAGAATGTAGACACAGTAAGTGGTATACTGTCTGCAGAGAAAAGCCTTCCCCACTTTCCAGAAGAATATTGCCATTCAGTACCTGTAGAAGCCCAGTGATTTACCCTGACACCTTTGACTTTCTTCACTGCCACATCCACCTCCTCACGAAACAAGCTGCTCTAATGAACCAAGAACCTCACTCCCCCACCAGAGAAAGACAAAAATGCTGACTATTTCAGGCCAGAAGAACCACAAGCCTTGTTACCAGAAGGCACTAAGGCTGTGAAAAAATCACCAAGCAATTGCAGTCTCTGGAGGTCTGCTAGTTCACACTCCTGCTCAAAGCAGGGCTCCAGGAGAGCCTCAGAATGTGGGCAGACTGCATCCTAGGAGCAGGTGGGATCAGAGGGAAAGCACTTAAGGGATGAGCCGTTACAAGCCCTTAGAAAGCTTCTGGTAACCATTTACAAGTGGCTGGCTACAGATGAAAAACTGTCTGAGCTGGCGTCACAGCTGAACAGCGTTCCCCCACAGCTCCCCTGCATTAATCACTCTGCTGGCTGACTTATCTCTCTACATCAATTAAAGACACAACATAAATACTGGATTTAAAATCTGTAGTCATGTTCACTGGTCCATGAGTGATTTATCTGCAAGACACACACAAACACATGGCCAGCCCAGAGAGCCTCTTTAGCAGCCTGCTGAACAAAAACCATCTCCACCAGACCCCTGCATCTTGCTGACTCATGGAGAAGAGTGTGGTTTTGGCTTCAGGAGAGTATCTCACCTCCTCTGGTTACCACACGGGGAATGAGGAAGGCAATTTTATCCTTCTCCCTCACCTCTCTACTGCCAAGTGCAGACCCAGCGAGGCCCTCTCCTGCCTCACCTCCCTCAGCCAGGTGAGGAGATGGTCCAGCCCCTGGAGGGTGAACAATCAGAAGTGCTTCCAAGCAGGATGGGTCCTCCAAGACCTCTGTCTGCATCTTTATAGGGAGGATGCTAAAAGCCGTTGGCCCCATCCTGATCCCTTCCCAGCATCCCCCACTCTGAGCACGCAGACAGAAGCTTTGCCTGAGCAACATTTGCATGCTGCAGCAGGGAAGATGACAAGGAAGGATGAAACCTCCCTGCTTCACTGACGTAAACACTGGCTTGCACACTCACACGCTCATGGTGGTCTGCCAGTAACTCCTGTTCGCACTGAGCACCACCAGAAAGCTGCAGGCTGTGCTGCTGATATCAAGTTCAGGTGCATGGTGAGTCCCAGAGGAGGGCTGGAAACCAGCAGAGTATCCTTACACATTGCAAGAGGAGCTCCACAGCCACTGCGGTCAGGCTCTGATCTCTGCTAAAAGCAAACATTTCAGCAGAAAGGCAGAGCAATGCAAAGCTATCTGGCCAGACCCTCAGTAGTGCCACCCAAGAAGATGCACCACTAAGACCTCCTCAGAACCTGTCCTCAACCAGAAGATGGTTAAATACCATCTGCATACTGCCTAACAGATGACCCTATTCCCAAGGGAGTCCAGAAGCCATAGGCATTCACAACAGGATCACCTTTTTCTCTCAGCTTCATGTGCATTTTCACATGGGTGCTTGCAATGGCTAGAATTTGCAAAGCAATGGAGCGAAATGGCATTAATTAAAACTTAAGCAGAACCTGAAAAATCCTCAGTAAATTAATCTGCATGCCTCAGCAGTCTCACCAAGAGTGTTCCAAGCTCAAATGTTTAATGACTAAGACACGCGCTGAAAGAACTGCATTTGCTAAGCCCAGATGAGACTTTAAAAAATACACCCTAATCCATTTATACGTGCACATGGAAACACAGAATAAATAATGGAGAAAAAAAAAAAATTACCATTTTTTCAGTTCACTTTTGACTTTTCTTATTGTTTCAAATCATTTGCTTTGCAATGACTTTGAAGAGGAATTATCCTGTTTCTGTGTCAAAGCTGGGCAATGCATTTTACACACATAATTTCTTTTGGAGCTCCGCAATTTAACTGCAGTCTACAGCAACAAGAATATTTTTAAAGGCAGGGGAAAAAAAAAAAAAAGTCAAATGTCACCTCTTTGCCATTTAAGGCACTGCATTCTATAATCACAAGAGGTTTGCCGGGCATACTCCAGCCGGTCTTTGAAATCCTCAACTGGACAACCCCACCCTGACAGCCAACCAAGGCCCCTTTACAAACCTCCAGATTTATTTTTTGTTTCTTCTGCATGCTTACTAACACTGTTTTCTGTAAAAGCACAAGTTTTCTTCTCAAATATGCATTCAGCGGTCTCTGAATGAATTTCTTCTACTCTCTCTTCTGCTTGCTTCAAACCACTAGAGCATGCAGGGATCTGGCTTTGTTCCCCTTGGAGAGCTGTTGATCTACCACACTTGATTAATTCAAACAATGCCTCCCAATAAGCACTGTCATGCACCTGTCTACCCTGAGTCTCTTAACACAGCATCCTGCACCACATCAATTTGGCTCCAAGCAGCAGAAGGCATTTCCTTCAGTAAGAGGACTGCATATTTGCTCCACTGTAGTAAGCATGCACAATTTCTAACACCCCAGCCCTTGGTAAGTACTGATGGTTTCTATTCAGGACTCTGCAGTTTTAGCAGGGTTAGGGGCCAGCCTCCTGACTTCTATCAGTGGCAGATACCAGATGTGTCCCAGCAATCACACATGGGAACAGTCCCTCTGGTTTTTCTGCTGGGCAGCAACTGCAAGGATTGATTTGCTTCACCACCTCAGCATTTGAAAGTGCAACATCTCTGTTACAGACAACAGTGAGCACAGCACCGCAAAAGCTGTTGAATGGTGGTCCTCAGTGGGGGAGGCAAGTCATGCGGTGCCTGTTATGGTCCTTCTCTCTTTGATTACTCCCTGTCCTGCCCACTGAACTGGCAGTTCAATAAGATAGATTAATTGACTTGGACCACTTGGCAAGTCTGGCAGGGCACAAACCCACTGTGGTGGCAATTTTTTTGATGTGTGGTCTTTTGACTACTCGGGCTGGAAACACCAGTGAGTTTCTGACCAATCCTTGCATTGATCTTGACTCCTCCTTATGTGCTAAGAATTACATCCATCAGGAAGGCTGTCCTGTGCCAGGCACAACACAGGTTTGTTGTGCCTGGCAACAAACGAAAGAAAGGCTAGTTTGGTTGTACTGCATGTAGGGGAAGGGTGATGTACAATGAGAGAGACCTGTCTGAGCTCACCCAGTGGGCCAGTTTCAAACCTGAGGTTAAAACCCAGGGTTAAGTATCAGGTGAGCCAGGGCTCTCTGCAGAGCCACGATGCCACCCAGGAGAGAGGGTCAAGAGCAGGAAAATGATTTCTACATCATCTTTCTACTCCCTGTGCCTGAAAACTGCTGGCCCTGAGGGATCTGTGGCACAAACCAGGAGGCTTTCAACCACAAAAAGCTTTATCCATGGTGGCCATTCCCTGTCCTACGCTCTCTTCTTAGAGCCTGGCACAGGGTACACAGAAGCTGCAAGGTGGGCTGGCTTGTGGTGGGTGGAGAGCAAGACCTGCCAAAGCTGAGGCTGCCTTGTGCTGGCCTCCAGGCACAGAGTAACCAGTGTGGCATCAAAACCCAGCCCACAGTGAGGACATCTGTCCCCTTCTCCAGTCTGTACCAGCCTCCTCCACTTATAGGTGAGCTAAAGCAGAAAAAGAGAGATCTGAGGAGAATCCCTTACTGAAGAGAAAAGGCAAAGGGCTCTGTCACTAGCAGAGAAATTACAAACACCTATCTGTGCACACCAACACGGAAACTCCTGGAAGGGGGAACATCAGGGAACAATACATCATAAGGCTCTATATAGCAGCTAAGTGAGAGCGTATAGTTAAAAACTACACAGAGGCCTTTTGTCTTTAAAATACAATGCTAATGGCTGACATTTACAGCAGCCTCCTCCACAAATAAACTTAAAGCCCAGGTAGGCATTCTGACTGGGAGGTCAAGAGATCCCTAATCTCCCTGACTACAGAGACAGCACAGGTCTGGATACCTCCCAGTCTGCTAACTCAGGAGAAGGCTCTTTGCTTGTGAGAAAGCAAACAAATTATTCAAATGCTGTCATCCTAGCATTGCCAGAGGTTTCCAGGTTTCACTCCTTCATGCTCGTGGGTCCAGGGTCAATCCAATGCAATAATGATAAGCAACAGTGACTATTTACTGCTGCAAAGTACCAGTACCAACATGCTTCACATTGTTCCCAGCACCCCTAGCTCTAGCCAGCCTTCTGCAGCTGCCTGATTGCACAGCTCTCTTCCACAGCACTGCAGCATTTGTCCAGTTACTTTTCCCACCCACCACGTCAATAAAGTGACAAGTGACTCGAGAGATGAAAGCCACGTGCCGATGGGAGGAGATAAATGGGGAAGAGACAGAATATACGCCACAGCGCTCTATCTCTTCCCAAGCTCCTTTAGAAACAGAACAACACAAGAAAGTCCTGATGCTTCAACTGCTAAATGATAAATTAACAAAGCAAAGCAGGAGCAAAGACATCTCCCACAATCTGCACAGAAACAGCAAAAATATACAATAGAAAATGTCACTAACACCCCATTCAGGCAGATGCACTTTTTTTTTTTTGTGATGACAGGTTATTAAATGGAAAAATTTTGAACACCGGTACTTTGCTTCATGGCTGTTCCTCTAGTTCTCATTTCCACCTTAAGTGACCTTCTGCTTAATGCTGGGTGTTTCTGGCCTGTGGTCCTTCCTCTCTGAGACGTTGCGTTTCACCTTTGCACTAACTGGAGACTCCTGGTTCAATGAGGGACTCGAGTGGGATTTCTTCAGTCCTGGTGCATCATTCTCTCCTCCGCTCAGCAGATCCTTCACCCCTTCTTTCAGGAGACTGACGTAAGTCTCATAGCGATTTTTCTGGGAAATTAAAAGAAAAACCTGAATCAGCCTGCAAAAAAATCTGCAGAAGCACTTGAGATATCTTACCCATAACTTAATGCTCTCTGCTGGCCTTGAAGAAAGTCAAGAGCCTAATATGGATGGGAACAATGGTGCCTGATGTGGACATGAACAATGGTGGGTAATGTAAATTACACACTACAAAAAAGATTCAAGGCAGGTTGAGCCCGGGGGTGCTGTGCAATTAGAGGCACACAGCAGCAAACAATTCCCAGTGCTAAACTGAACAGTGGCTCTCAGCTACTTGAAGCACATAAAGATTTCCAAGTAACAAAGCCAAGAGAGAGCTTGCTGACTACAGTCACACTGAGTCATATTCTGTGCTCACACGTACCGAGATGCTACGTGCCCCACGCAGGCATGGAGAAAGAGTGCAGCAAAGTAAGGGACAACAAAAATCCTGCTCTGGTTTGCTACAGCGCTTCCCTGCAACCCTCTACTCCCACCTTTTCCTTTTGCAGAGAAGAAAAAGGTCCTTTTCCTTACTTTAGCCCAGGGGGAGAAACCAAAGAAGGGCACTCCTAAACTCAGATAGTACTGGCTTGGCCACCACTGAGCTTGTGAGAGGATGCTCTGCAAGACCAAACCTTAACAAAAAGGAGCAGATAAGAGGGCTGAAAGCAGGAAGGTATGTATCCTTTACAGGGCCACACATGGTGAATGATGAAGGTTGCTCTCTGTCCAGACATCTATATTTTACAATTGGAAAAAGTTCACTTTACTGTGCCCCATTTATTCTGTTCTTTGGAGTGGAGCTTTCCGTCTCCATGGGGAAGATTTTGCTGTGTGCCACAATTACCATCTTTTTGCATAGAACGTCTTGGCAACCAACAAAATGAGGGTACACTAACAGAAGACCTCAAAAACAGAAGCTAGCGCAGGAGGTCCTGAGAACAAAGCAACCCACCTCCCAGGGATTTGTTTAAAAATGTGTCCCTGACATATCCACTAAAGATATTATGCAGGCATTGTAATTCAGATGATCTCAGTGGGCTAGGGTCAGGGATGGAAGCAGTAAACATCCATACTGATTGCTAATTTATATTTCAAAGTGGCAAAACAGCAGCCAAACTATTATGTACCTGACAGAGGAAAAAATGTTGAAGAAAAATTCTTCCTATTTATAATAAAATAATAAAGTTCTGGTAAAAGCAGGAAGGGCAGGAAGTCAAAAAATTTGGTAACTGCTTTGAAGCATGGAATATAAAGGGAAAAATTACAAACAAGGAGAGAACGTGACTGGGTTTCCAAACAGTCCTTTGAGTAAACAGAACCGCATAGAGGAGGATCATAAAAAAATCCACCTAAAAATTAAATAAAAAAAGCAGTCTTATCCATTCCGTATCTGGAGTTCCAGCTCCACAACATGAAAGACAAACATATAAAGCAGGTAAGATGTGTCATTCAATAAAAAAGGAAACAGAGAAACAGTGAGCAGAACCCTGGTCGTGATGCACTGGGCTGATGAACGATTCAGCATATAATGAACAGGACACCTCTGCAAAAGAAAAGGCAAGCCAATGCTCTAAGCCTGGGATCATGAGGATAGAGAGGGACTTTACCACTGTATGGACTTCCACTTTTTGTTGGTCCAGTAAACGCCACCAGGGTCAACAGACCCACCATTCAGAATAGAAATTTAATGCAGTTTCTGCCTGGCAAGTCTGCCAATGGACTTTGTAGGCCCGTGATTTCTATTGCAATTAAGCCATGCATTTGGAAGTTTCTATTTTGATTTCAACTGCAACAAGCTTGCTCTTTCGGTGATCTCACATTTGAAGGTAGGTACTAAAGCTGGTGGAAAATTTTCCTTAAAAGAAATTAATCTGAAAAATTCTGTCAAGAAAGTAAACCCACAAAACTTAAAAAAAAAGTTAAACTACTCAAAAGCTTCTGCAACGTCTTCTCTGAAGAACAAGGGCATATAATAAAGAGGAGACGAAACAGCCACCCATTAAATTTCTATCTTCACCTCTCACCTGACAGCATTCAAAAGATCTCTCTCAAATCATTAATTTCCTCCAATGAGCAACCATCATCTGGAGCAGTACTTGTTCCCACAGCAAGCAAAGAGAAATGTTCCTTCCTTGGTGTGGGCAAGTAAACACACCAGCAAGAAGAAATACTCCTTGCTGCATCCCTGAACCAGGTGCCTCCTGTTTCACCTGCCCTCAGGGGGAAACACCATTTCACTTGTCTTTCATCCAAAATAAAAATGAAGGGAACACTAATGGGTGTAAAAAAGGGGGAATTACAAGAGCCTGCAGAAAAGGAATCTGGTTTCTGCTTTTCTATTGGGACTATTCTGCTTCCTTTGGGACTCAGAGGCCCTTCTGATGTGCTTCTGGAAATCTACCAGTATGCCCCTTTGTACATGGATGCAAGGTCTGGTCTACAGTCTCAGCCTGAAAGAGCCAAGTACAAAATACTGCCCCATCTGCGTCTTGCTCTTTTGCTTTGACCTAATGCAGCAAGGTCTGTCACCACCTCCTGCCTCATCCTGACAGGATTTTGTTCTGAAGGGAAGGTGAGAAAACCCTAAAACCTGGGAAAATTTTCCATTCAGGATTTTCATATAGCTCACCTCTGGTTTGGGTGGTTTTTTAGTTTTTTTTTTACTGCCCACTGATAGCTCAGCATGGCCTGCAAATTTTGCTCCAAGTGTGAAGGTAACACAGCATTGCATATCAGTACCTTGAATCATCATCGTCACCCAGACATGCATTCCTGCTGTGCTGATCACATGCCTGAATTGCACAGTTCAATTGCTGCTCAAGGTTTTCACTAGGAAAGAAGGTACCTTTTGTTTCCTGGGCTGCAATGGTTCTGGTTTGCACTAAGGTACGTGAGAAATGTTTCTCTAAAGACTGCCATGATAAAATTGACAGAAAACAGGAAAAACTTCACAACTATCTCCTTCTCCATCAATCTTTCTAAAATCATCTACATTTCACCCTAACTCACTGTGCTTCTAGAAATGACTGAAGTAAACTTTTTGTCAAGGACTCAAACCCAAGAAACTCTTTGCTCTCCCAAGTTGCACAAGACCCCATATAGAAGGAAAGTGTACAGATGTACAGGCTTGCTCTGTACATCCAAGTGCTGTGTTCAAAACTGACATTGCACCATTGATCACAACCCTTTGATCTTGACTGTTCAGCCAGTTTCCAAACCACCTAAGTGTCGATTTCGAAGTCCACATTTTATCAGCTTGTCTACGAGGATGTTAGTAGAGACAATATCAAAATCCTTGTTATATTCAAGAACAAACAACATCCACTGCTCTACCTTCACCAATCACACCAGACATTTCATTGTAGAAGGCTATCATGTCAGTCAGGCATGATTTTGCCTGCATAAAGCCATGCTCATTACTCATGATGACCTCCTTGTCTTTAATGTGTTTGAAGTGCTTTTCAGGAGAATTTGCGTCATCATCTTCCCATGGACAGAGGGGCAGCCAACAAGCCTGTTACTACCCTGGACCTTCCTCCTTGTCTTTCTTTCTCCAGCTTATATAACACGTGGCAGGAGGCTTACTTCAGTTCCAGAGGCTTTTGTTGCCTCTAGTGGTCTCTCTGACTTTCGTCTTATCTGCCTCTTCTTCTGATTATGGATTCTCCCTGCCATGCACTGCCTTTATCTAAAGTAGGATCCTTTCAGTCACAAGGCAACACTGACTTGCAGTTCCTGGGAGGGAAAACTCAAAGATGCCGGAATGAAAAATACCAGGCACCCACTGCTTGCTGAGCCCCTCCCACACAGACCTACAGTGTGGCAGACACTATGATGGACAAAAGCTGCTGTCAAATACTCACAACAACCTCCTAATGCAGCTGCCTAAGTTGCACCACTCAGCCCTGTGATCTTTAATTCTACCCTTTTCCTGCTCATCCTGACATCCAGCTCACTCACTGGTACACAGCACAAATGGCTCTGATCTGGCATGCCTATGACAGTAATTTTAGAAGAGCATTTCTTTCAGAACATACCAATGGAAGACAATCATCATGATCTGCATTACTGAAGAATGCAGTCATTCTGTGAAGACTGAGGTGCCAAGACAGAATGCAATGCATAGTCCTGCAGTGTGAGACAGCGCCTGCCTGAAGACCTTATCATCTCTTCAAACAGATACATCTGATGTACACCAGATTTTGCAGGTTAAGGAGCTAAATTCATGGCTAAGGTCCCAGGAAGTTCTTATCAGAAAGAGGAGCAGCATCCCAGCTGCTGGGATTGTTGGAACATATCTGTCTGATAAGAACATATTCCTTGGCGAAGTAAGGTGAAAAATGCACAACCTAAGTTGAAACCTAAGTTGAAACTGTATCCAAAATATAGGACCAGCTGCCTCATCCAAAAAGTAAACCCAAACAGTAAAAGTACTCATGTTTCCCATACATACCTCAAACTCCAGATAGTGGTCCTTCAGTTTGTAATCCTCTACTTCCTTGCCTTTGAGCTTCTTGTCAGGAGGATAGGAACGGTGTTCAGCAAGCTCATTGGAGATCTGTTTCAGCTTAGTTTCATGAGACTTCAGCTGGTCATCCTTGAAAAACATGTTAGGCACTTAAGAGACAGAATCTAGAATATTTGATAAGCATAGGAAAATAGAGAGATACTTGTACAATACCAATTAGTTTCTTTTTCTTTCTCTCCTTCTCTCCTTTAACTAATCATAATCAGATTGATAAGGTCTGTTATCTCAGAGCTCTGTCCCCAACATCTCTCTCAAAGGCACCCAAGCAAAGTGGCCAAGTTTGCAGAAAAACTCGGCAGCTAGCAGATGCCACTGGGAAGGATAGCAAACCTGTCATCCCTCACCTTGCTGAGAGCAACAGAAGCAGCTTGCTGCAGAGCATTACTGACAACATGACACTCCTGCCCTAATACATTTTTTGGCAAATTAATTAAAGCTGTTGTGTATGCAGTCAGACCAAGGACAGAATCAGACAGGTGAACATCCTGCCTCAGGTCTTTGAAATGTAAAAGTAGCTCATTCCAGGACAGAAAGGACATGAAGTCAGGGTTTCTTCCATTTCTGCACAGCCAAATGCTCTCTGGTCTGCAGCCTCCATTTCTTCAGAACAATACAGTGCATCCAGAAGAGGAAGGGCTGTCCAATCCCCAAAAGGTATTTTGTTTTACTGAGCTGCTACCAGCCTTTATCCCACTGTGCAGCTGCAGAAAGTGAAGAGCTACTACTCCCCCTTTAGAGGCAATTTCCTTTATCATAATCCCAGGCCCACTCACTTCCTCCAGTCCATCTGTCAGCTAACCTTCCCTCTGCTCAGAAGGTTTCCAGCTCCTGCAGCACGGCTTTCTGGCCATTTGTAGGCTTGGATCTGAATTTATGCTTGAATTAGGTAAATCCAAAATAGAGACATGATTATGCAGATCTCAGTGACCTAGCCAGACTCCTAACAGCAGGTAGTACCCAGCTCAGGTCCTGTGTATGCACCTAGCCTTAGAAGAGGGGATAGCTGCCAGTAGTTGTCCCCCCATGGTGTAACTGTGCAGCTTGCAGCTTCAAGCCTAGCTTGGACATGTCTGCACCACACTGTGAGTCACAGCAGGGACAGAGCCTCTTGGCTCACTGAGCTGGAGCTGTGGAAAAGAGCAGAAAGATGGAAAACTTCTACAGAGGATAATAGTTGAGCCCCAGCTAATCTTGGGTTTCAACTCTTTTGCAAGAGAACCAAAGCAAAAAAAGTGGGATAATTTGCCCCCGTCTATACATGGTAGGGTTCAAACCACTCACTATTGGCTGCCAAAAATTCTTGTTGCTGTTAGTAACTACCCTGGATATGCTTGCTCTCTCTATTAGGGCCCAATCACTCTTTACATTGTGCTGAATCTTAGGTCCCAGTGACATCCTGTTGCCGTGAGTTCTATAACCCGATGATGGGAGGTCTTTGAACAGCTATTAATTTGGCACTTGTAATTTCCAGGGCATCAGGCCTTTGTAGCTTTTGTGTGTACATGCACATTCTCAGAAAAAAAAGGTGGAAAAAAAGCCCCAAACCCTAGTAGATATTTTCTAGACTGGTTGCTCCTTTATATATAGCTTTGTCACATCCCTCTTCAGCTGGACTAACCAAGATCAGACACTGATTTGCTTTTGAAAGCAAACTTGGTAAAATGATCTCGCAGAGCCTGTCACGTCCTACCTCTCTCCCACACCCACGTTAGGCTCTCACTGCATACTGACTTTTGCCTGACCAGGAACAGGCCCTTTGAAGAAGTTCTGTCCATCATGATTTGGCCCACAAAATCCTAAACAGCACCCACAGGGATTTGACAATTCATATTTTTTTTTGTCTGCCAAATGAGAAGCAGCCTGCTGGCAGCTTTTCCACACTGACAGATAAAAGCAAACATGTTTCTGCCTGCCTTTGAATTCATCTGCTTTGAACACTTCACATTCTTCTGCCTTTAGCTAAAACAGCTTATCTTATTCCACTTTTCGTGTCTCCCCTTCTTCAAGACACAAACCACAGGGCTGTGTTCTATTTCTTTCCAGATTAAATGGAAACAATGAGACTAGGAAACAATGTGCTAAATGGAACAATCACACAGAACAACAGTGAGTAAAAAACCTTTTTTTTTGGTGACTGGGGGTAAATTACTGAAGCACCATACAGTATTTTTAAAAAGGTATGCATGATCAAAAGGTAAAACCACAAGGATGAGACAAGTTATATTATACTGTATGAGACACGTTTCAAACTTTAACCCAGAACAGAAGATGGAAAGGTGGTCACCACACTGTTAGAGGAAAGGCTACTGCTACAGAGAGGGAAAAAGCAGGGGCGACATAAAAACCCCCACCCTCTTAAAGAAATGCAGATTATGAGATAATGGTTTCCAAGGAGTGTTGCTAAGCTATAAAGATGGTGGGAAAAAAAAAAAAAAAGAAAAAAAAAGGATTTAAGATGCAATCCAGAATGGGCAGATGACTTTAAAAACTAAAGGAGGTTACTCATAAAGTCTACACCTAGGATAGATCTCTATCCTAGATCACCAAGGACTTGTCACCCCTGCCACTGTCAACCTGATCAACACAATCAATATCATGTTCCTACCAGTGCAGGAAGAAATGCAGGCATGCATCACGGCTCCTAGAGTACACAGAGCTATGGGCACAAGCATCAGACACAGCCTGTCTGAAACAAGCAGAAGTAGGTGGTTTTTCGTGCAAGAAGTAGTAGAGCTGTGAAACTCCCTGCTACAGGATGCTGCAGAAGCTAAAAGCTTATGTGATCACAAGGGGAGACCAAAGATGCTCACGTAAGACGCAGTTTATAAATATACATCAAACAAGAAGTCCCTGAGCTGGTAAGAGCTGGAGAAGTATTGTGGAACAAATATAATTGATGCTTGCCTGATGCATCAGCTTTCACCTTTTGTCACCTCAATAAGCCAAAGACCATTTTTCCTGAAATGAGTAGCAATAAACAGGCATATTCAAAAAAACCCACCAGACAGTATTTGAAATGTCCTCTGCAGAGCCATAACCATGGAATGAAAATTCTACATCTGATACTAGGAACACTGGTGATTGTTTCTTTTCTTCAAAACTATAAAACAATTATATTCAAGTCTGCTCCTTCTCTCTCCCCACTTCAAACCTTGCATCAGGAAATAAGCAGAGATTTACCGTGCAAGCCTACCTCTCCAAGGAATGCTAGTGGCAACAGCCTCAAAATAATGCCGAGGACAACCATCCAGTCTCCTGCCAGCCAGAGAAACCACTATCACCTACCCTCTACATAAAGACAGCTCACCTGAGATAGCTTTGTTGTGGTGGCTGGCAGGAGCGGACGACTGAACTTCTTCTGAGAGCCAATTGCTGCTGGGAATGGTGGTGCAGAGAAGACGGCAGCCACACAGTTGATCTTATTGATCCAGGTCTGCATTTCTTCTTGGCTCCTGGGGAAGAAACACATTTTAAGCATGTGTTGACTCAGCCTCCCCTACCTTTCCCACCCCTTCAATGGCATTTTAAAAGCAAAAATAACCAGAACTGGACAAGTCTTAGAGTCTGCTCAGTCTTCTGATCTATCTTTGCAAGCAGCTAGTGTCAGGTATCTCAGTCATAGACTGGCTCGTGATTAGGTCCATAACTCAGCCTAGCACACATTTTTCCTAATCCAATCCAAATGACACAGGCAACAGAAACAACCAATGTCCTGATTCAGAGGTATGTTCTAAGGTTTTAGCTGTGCTGGACACCACAGATTTCTAAGAGGTTTCACATGAATCATAGTAGAAAAGGGCTCATGCTGAAGACTGATGCACAGGTTTTTAATGTCAGAAGCAAAAGACGGGTCATCTGTTCTGTCTGGATATCACAGCCTGAAGATCCTAATCAAATTATTCTTGTATTAAGTGGTAACTTTGTTTCTGACCAAAGCATATATTCTAGAAAGACATCCGGCTAGGACCTGATGACATCAGGAGACAGACAATCCAAGACTGCCTTTGGACGTTTTTTTCAATGATTAATCACCCTGACTGTTATAAGTTTGTGCCTTGTTTCCAAATTGAATTTCCTGCAGCTTCAGCTTCCAGCTGCTGCATCTTGTTATGCCTTTCTCAGCTAGATTAAAAAGCCTCTTAAAACTTGATGCTTCTTTCTCATGAACTACTTTTGCACTGTAATCAAATCACTGCTTAATCTTATTTCTGATCAAATAAACAGATTCAACCTCTTAAACCTCTGCTTTAACCTGTTCGGGAATGAATTTATCCCTCCTTCAGCACTGCTTTCTTTCCCCAATGACTGGCACAAAACAGAAGTGAGCACTTACTGGGCTTGGAAAAGCAGGACCCTCCAATCTGCTGTTTTAAGCTTTAGGACATTGGGTTTCTTCTCATAGTCTGTTGCCTTGGATGCCAGTGCATGATGCACACTAACTGCATTCTTCAGATCTTCCTCTGACAAAGCCTTTTCTGGCTTATATTCATCCTGCAGGAGTTAACAGGGGAAAAATGGCATCTTATTTCTCCATGTAATACCCCTTTTTCCTTAATCTAGAAAAAAAACTTGTTCCATAGTCATAAATAGTACTAAAGTACATTAAATGAATGAAGTCTGACTAGAGCACTTGAGAGTGGTTTCCACTACCTTTAACACCTTTTCTTTTCTCTTTCCTTCTGTTTTTTTGATCTCTTTGCAAATGAGAAAAGTAGTTCCACTATCTGCTTGACAGGAAGAGGAGTAAACAGGGAGTATTTGACTATCACAATAGCTGTGGACTATTAGCCTTCATTTAAGGAATCCTTCATGGCGTGTTCCCCACCTCCATTGCTCAATTGCTTGGGTTCTCAGCTTCCACTGCTCAATTTTTATTTCTCCCAGCTACATCTGTATGTCCTCCTGGCAGGCCCTCACACAGAGGAGAATCCTCATCATCAATCTCCACAAAGCAATACATCAAACTCCTTTAAATCTCTCCACTCAGGGTCTGCAAATGGCAAGCACAGCACCGTCCAGGTTTCTCACTCAACAGCACCACTCTTAACACCAGATGACAAAAGCAGGGGGTCAAACTTCTCTATGTTGCAAGCATTAGCCTGGGAGCAGACTTTGATCTCTTGAGCTACAGAACCTGGATGAGGGTACAAACATGGTGTAGCCACAAGTCCAGTTCAAAGCCTACCTGACTATAAATGGCTTGGGAAAGTCAGGACCTTTTCCGAGAAAAAGTCACTTGCAAGCAATGCTGCATGCACCTAGCTTCTGAAGGACAGACCAAAGCAATCTGCAACTGACTCTATTTCTTACCCTTATCACATCAAAAAATCAGTCTCATCTGAAACCCACCAAGGGAGGGGGTGTGACAGCTGCAAAACAGAGGAATAGTTCCCTGCAGGCGTGTGGTTAACTACTGATCCCTCTACTTGAACACAAGAGTTACAAGATGGGGTTTAGCAGGCAACAGAGTGCAGGTCATAGAGCATGTGCAGGGACAGCACTAGCTTAAGTACTGAAGGAGGCACCCATGCTGAAAAGGAGGTGGTTAACATGCATGAACTGGTTTACAGGGCTTAATGTGACAGCATGCAGACCACGACTGCACCCAGGGCCAACTACACCTCTGCTGAAGGCGTCCGCTCTCAGCCAGACTGTGTATGGTCAGGGCTCTCCAGGATGAGTTTTAATGGATGGAGCGACCATCTCCTACAAGGGAGGACAGAGCATACTGCTCATCTCGTCCTTCCTCACAGAGACCCAGCTATTGCAGGCTCAGGACTTGCTGCTGCTCAGACCCTTCACCTGAGGAGATGCAGCTAACCAGCAAACTGTTGCAGCACCACTTCCACCTGGGGCCAGACAAAGACACAACCCATCACAGATCTGGCAGGCCTAGCAGAAAGGCAGAGCACTGCTGCACAGATGAGCAAAGGGTGGCCTTCAACTTTAACATGTGTGGCAAAAGGAGTTTTCAAGAGAGCAAAGATAAATGTCCTTCCTCACTCGTAGCTTGAGTCCCAGCAACCTTTGGAGGGATCTCCACATCGTACTGAGCTCATGCTTAAAGCACTCTCTAAACTTCCTTCAAGGAAGATTTGGGAAAGGCTCTAGCTGAAGGACAAGAACTGGAGAAGGCTGTCTAACGTCTGGCTGAGCCCCATCTTGAAGATGGAGAAAACAAGCCCACAGGTCATGCCCTTCCTTCATGAGTTCAAAAGCCGATTTATTTGATAGTTTGGGGGGGAAATGACTCGCTCTACTGTACAGGGGGACTGGAAAAACTTCAAGGCCAGGAAATGAGCTTACACAGACCTCAGAAACATGAGAAATATCCTGGCTTTCCTGAAGTTACTGCCTAGCGACAGTGTCAATTATCACCTTGCCTGTTGTCTCCCAGCTTCCTCTGTGAGACGCATCCTATGTCCACAACCTACTCTGGTGTCCAATCGTGTTCCAGAAGAACTCCACATTTGGGCAGTCCCAGAAGCAGTCCTGGCTGAGAGAACTCCTCCTTACCCACAGACAGCATTCACACTAATCCTTGCTAATCCCACCGGATCAGCTGGCTGCAATCTACCTTGACAGATGGGGCTCTGCCAGCTTCTCCAAAGGCACTGATCAGCATACCGGAAATGTCTCTGCAAAGCTGGCCAGCCTCAGAGAAGACTAGAAGGACATGAATGTGCTGCTAAAATTCCACCTCTAAGGGCTCCAACTCTTTCCAGCTGGCAGGGAATGCTTAGGGGCACAGGAACACCCATATCTCTTATGCCATCAAGGACAGCACATGCTCTGATGTGCCAGTGTCAGTGTGGAGGCTGAGCTGAAACGGAAGGCAGCTCACTAAAGTTAGACCAAGCCAGTAGCAAGAAACAAATAAGCCAAAAAAGAACTGTGACCTTTCTATCAACTGAAGTCTGATGCAAGTGCTGCACACAATGCAATGACACGCTGAATTCATCTCTCTCAGACTCCTGGAGAATGACTTTACCACATCCTGCTGACCTGAAGTCAGCATGTTTCTAAATTCATTTTTGATAGACCAGAGAATGGTATTTGGCTTTTTATCAGTCAGTGTACTGTGGGTGGATATCTCCCTCAGTTGCATGTGACAGCTGCAGAATTCTCTTCCAGAATGTCTCGTCACTTAACATTTTACATCATTCTGGTCTTTCTTTAATATTTCAATAGAGGAAACACATTTGAGAAAAGTTATATAAAACCACCTGAAAGCCCGCAAGATTTTTAAGTGCAACATCAAAGAGCAAAGATGTTGCAAACCTCACAGAAGAGCCTAAACAAAACATGAAGGTCCATGTCCTGCACTGCTTGCCCAGAAGCAATGTCTAGCAAGGAGGCAAGGCCAGCCTTATGTCTTCTCTTTATAAGCCTCACTTTTGTATGCACACCACATCCCATGTCAGTCAAGTGAACAGACATTCTGTCAAGCTCCTACTTCACAATTTCCTCCTGCTATGAACAGAGGGCAGGAAAGTAACCTTGGCCTGAGGATGCCTAGGGACAACGCCAACATCCCAAACATGTCAAACCTCTCATTTTATGTAATACTATGCAGGCACATTTAGTTGGCTAATTGTGAACTCTTCCACTGAGTGCCTCCAGTGGCATTTGGGCTCACTAATTCAAAAACCATCTCTCTTAAATCACTTACTTAAAAATAAAACAATATGCAGCACATGAATTGGCACTGGAACAGTTCCAATGAAAAAAAGAAAATACATGTGGGCATGGAGACAAAATGGCCCAGATAAACTCCTCAGTAAATCTCAAGTGACCACCCTTTACAAACCACTCTCACACATGGACTTTGACAGCAGAACAAGAACTGGACTAGTATGCAAACAGAATGACAGCAGAAATGGGATCACACTGCCCACTGGGGGAATCACAGCTGCTACAAACAATATTTATATTACAGTAGTGTCTTGAGGGAACAGCTGAGTTACAGATAAACACAGAAAGCAACACTGCAGAGGTTGGTATATGTAATTTCTGTTTATATAGCACCTACAACAGTGAGATTTACATCTCCCCCACTTAAACAGCACCCAGTGCAATGGACCCATCACCACAGATGTTACCTCCACAGATAAACAGATTATGTACAGATAATGAGAGAAAGAAGGAAAATGAGTGTTTGCTTATGTGAATGCACTCTGCCCTATCGCATTCCATAATCAGGAGAGAAGGCAAAGGCAAAAACATCTTTTGACCATGACTACTGCCAAAGCTATGCATTTCTACGAACAAATCAAGCTGTTCTAAAACGCTCCTGAATTTTCTGAAATTAGGATAATTTCAATGTCCTGATATTGTAAAATGAAATATCAGCTCATCAACTTCTACTTGGCCTAGCTGTGTATTTTAAAACCCTGGCACCCTCAACTTCGCGATATGTCCCTAACTGAGCAAACTTTATTTCAGGGCTGAAGCAAAGCCCTGGGGAAGCTCAGAGCTGCCCCATCATCCTGTGAATAAGACACTTCCCATCAGGCCCTTTTGTCAACCTTGTGCTAAAGTACAAGGCACTAAAGTAAAAGCCTTGCTTGTCACTGCTACAGTGAGATAACTTCAGTGCAAGTGTCTTCAGAACCAAGTGGGAGACTGCAGCTTTGCAAAGTAGCTACTCTGTAATCACTGAATTCAAATACCGTGATAAGTACAAGACACACAAATAACAAATATGTAAGAACTCCAGCAATGCAAAAATGCACTCAGATGTGAAATTACTCTTTTACTGGTGAGAGTGGGAAGAGCACCATTCTGTAGAGAATTAGCATGCTACGTCAGCATCTCTACATCTTGTTAAACAGCATTTTAAACTAATATACCAGTAATACTCATAAAAATATGAGTACTTAATTATGTACTTAATTATGTATATGAGTACTTAATATGAGTACTTAAAATTATTAAGACTCTGAAATAGACAGCATCTCCATTTTTTCCCTTAGCAAACTTATCCCCCCTCAAAGATCAAGTAAGAAATTAATTAATGTGTTACGGACAAGGAACCTTTTCACTTCTTAGGGAGCCATGCAGTCTTCTCAGGCGACTAAAAATTATTTAGTTCAGAAATCAAAGAAGATTACTCAAACCTGCCATGAAGGCCACTTTAGCAAAATCTGAATCTGCTGCTAGCAAAAGGACCAGAAGGAAGGCTCAGCTTGGTTCTGGTCTCTTGCACTGGCTTTGAGTATGTCACATACAACCTTCAGCCCAATCTTCCATCCTGACTGCAGATGTGTTTTTGTCTGTTACAAGACTTCAGCTCTCTCAAAAAAGTATTGCACTAAGAGCATCCACCTTGCAAACCTCATGCTGCAAAAATTAGAACCAAAGTACTCTCTTTCTTCTAAGAGGCTATCCAGGGTGGCTCCAGTGAAACCAAAAACTTCAGAAAGCCACAGCAGGGGAGGAGGAAACAGCAGTATGCACTTGAACTTGTGCTCCTGACAGTTGTAAACCATAGTGGAAAAATAAAAAGGCTTTCAAAGGAGCACACTTCTACAATACAGGACAGCCTGGACAAACATCACCTACTTCATTAATATTTCACCTATGCTGGGGGCCAAAAAATCTTAACAACCTACTTTGCTGCTATCATTTATTTGATTTTGACAGTTCTCATCCATATGCTGCATTTCATGTACCAAGAGTACAGTTAAAACTGCACTATAATATATTTAAACTTGTGCCAAAAGACTTGAAGGGTTTCAGCTGACTTTTTTTTTTAGACTTCTTGATGTCATGGAGCAAAGTTTATTAGAAAGCAGTATCTCATCTTGCTCTGGGGAGAAAAAAAGTATCCTTTTATCCTTCCATTCTGCTGGGGAGTAGAAGCTGCAGCTTCCTACCAAGGCCAAGCTGCCATTCAATTGATTTGCAGCTGGTCTTGCAGGCACTGCGAAAATGCATACCATGAAAAGATGGGAAAGGAGGACAGCCTTACAGGAGGAGAAGTCATATGTATGAAATGCAATGTTAAAAGCAGCCTAGAGGAATGTATGCAAGACACAGAGAGATAATGCTGTCTTTGCTGGTGAAGCTGGCTATTTTTTCAGCTGTGATTGACGGCAATGATATAACCAGAAGCAATAGGGTACACATGTGAATGGGGACAATGGAACTTAACTTTAAATTATGAAAAGAGGGAGATGTCAATGAAAGGATTCATGCCTGAATGTGTGTATAAACAGGGTAAGGGGCAGAGAGTGCAGCTACGCTGTGTGTCAAAGGGAAAGGAGCCTGGAGGTGGGCTGTGAGAGCGGAGAGGATGCCTGCTGCTTTATCCAGCTTTAATTAGTTTCCAAAAGACAGTGATTTCCCATACCTTCTGCAAGTACAGGACCGTTCCCTTTAGTACAGCATAAAAGGTTTTCCAGCCTCGCTTTCCCCGGGGAGCTGCAAAGAAAACAAATGAAAACCCATTTAACTTGGATCCATTTTTACACTTTTCTAGGCAACAGGAAAGCTACATTAATCCTGTGTTAAACCTCCTTTGTACTCTACTTCTCAAAGGACAATTCAACTTAGCACAGTGCCTGCACATACCTGCTGTGTGAGAGAGTAATAAACCAACTCTGACGACAGCCCTGGACTGGATCAGAAGGGAGCAGCAGCAATGCAGAAAGAAGGTCAGAGAGATCCAGCCTTTGTGCTCTTGCAGGTAGGCGGACACTGTCCCTACAGAGCTAGGTCTGCACTCTGTGCCGTGACAGTTCTCAGAAGGAAATACCCTTTCTTCATGTCACAGCAAGCTGGCAGGCACTGCTCAGGACCAATGGGGCACTGCTTAGAAAGCAGTGCCTCTCAAGAGCATCCTTCCCTCTTGCCACTGCTGCACACCTGAGTTGGCACTGAGCGGTCGGATAGCTTCTTGGTCCCCTCCCCTGCTCCTGCAGCCACAGGGGAAGCCAAAGAAGAAAAAAGAGAGGGGAGCCAAACAGAATACTAATGAGAAAAACAAAATCATCCCTCAAGAAACCTAAAGAGGGGGATTCAGCATGATTGCTGCAGTTTGAAATTCAGCTGCAATAGAAGGAGAGAAGGCACAGACTGTACGGCCACAGCCTGAGGCTATAAGCCTGCATCTAAGCTCCACCAAACATGCACCACTTACCAGCATCCACTTGTGTCTGCACTGAAATTAATAACACATGTATGACTAAAGCATCACCCTCAGAAAGGCATCCCATTTTGATCTTAAGACAGCAAGTGATAGTGAAGAGGTTATTAATCCCTTGCTCCAGAGGTTAATCATTCTCATCTTACATAACGGGCCTTATTTCTAATTGGCATTTGTTTGGACAGCTTCCAGCCACCGGCCCCTGTTACATCCTTTTCCTCTAGATTGCTTAAGTGTTTCAGTCCTCAGTACTCCTTTCCTGAGAAAATACCTATAACATGCCAGCACATCACTTCATTAGCAATCCTGCACAGGCTGATCTGTAACAGCTCCAATAGGAAATGAAATATGACAAGGTCTAACTAAAAGAAAAAAAAAGAAAAAGTCTCATTTTATTTGCAATGAGTCAGAGTCAGAATGTAACTTTTTCAAGAGCTGCATGACAATAAGAGGCAGGCCCCCTAGACGTACAGGAACTTCTGAAAACGTGGCCTTAATTACATTACTCATAAAAGGATTATCCCCAGAATGCCAGCATCCGGTGTGCTGAATAATGAGCAATTCTGATTACTTTTAATTAAAGAAATAATTTAATAAAGGCAACTAGATACAATTACTTACTAAGGTTAAATAAACAGAAGTTTAATAAAGAGGAACCTATTCAAAGCATCCAGTCATCACAAAGAATGAGGTCAGTTTGATTTCGACATCTCTGTTTGGATTTAGCCATCCAGCTGTCAGCCTCCAGCTTACAAACACCAACCTCCAACTGTACCTTCTAAATTATATTAGCAAAACATGCAAACATCAAAGAGCTAAGCCAAGCTAGGAGACAGTTGCAGTTACTGGAAACCCATCACAAAATCAGACTTTGCCTTCAGGATTCAGCCAAAGAGTGTGAATCCTGAGTAGGGGATCATCAACAACTGGGAAAAATACAGATGCTCTGAGTAGCAGATCAATAGAAAACAAACAAATGAAGATGTCCAAACAACAGAACACACACAGCTGAATCAGAGACCTTCGATAATTAGTGGATCACAAATGTATGTAGGACAAAAGGGAAAGAGAATAATAAAAGTAAGAGGCACAGCAAGTTTGCCAGAAAAAAGGGTAGGGAGGAGCAGCATAGTGTAAATCTGGCTGGTACCAAAAGCTGCTGTATTTCACTGGGGAGATGACTCAAGGCTAGCAAAGTTGGGAAGGAACAGTTACAGCATCTTCCAAGTAGAGATGAAGAACAGCCTTTTTTAAAATACAGACCCAAAGGCATGGGGAGATTTGAAACAATCTGGTGCCACACAAGGAAAAGGAGAATTACCAAACTGCTACGGAACAGCCACTGTAATTCACTCCAAATTGTTTTGTCTTCTGTAAGCCATGAGATTCATTTTCTTTTAGTACAAAAGATCTACATTGCCTGCTGTATTGCACTATTCATTATGCTTACGTATTAGAGCTGCTACAAATGGGACTGAAAATTGTAAATCCTGGCCTAATAGTGGAAGTGTGATAATCCAATTGCTGCATTGTTTGCTATTGCTGCAATTTCCCCTAATGAAGCAGCACTATTTGCCTTGAGAAGCACATGGGCTCATCGTATGTGGCATTATGCATGGATAACAAGAAAATGATGTTAAGAGTGAAAGATACTCACTTTTCTTTCCATCCATATCCGCATGGATTTTCCGAGCCAGAAATCCAGTCTTATACACAATAGCATTGGGGTCATGAGGGATGTCCAGGAATGGGTTATTTGAGTTGCCAATTCGACTGACAGCCTTTGTCTGGCTCACATTATCCTTTTCATCTGTACCATCTGAGTGAGACTTTTTCTTTTCTTCTTCATCCCTTAAAAAGCAGTAAAAAACAAGAATGAATGAGGGACTAACCAGCAATGTTTCATTTCAGATATTCTTGCACATTCCTTGTCAAAACACCTCTCTCTTTATAGGGGCCCTATTTAGAGAAAAACTTCAGCTATGCTCCAAAATATAGTCAGATTATAGCAAAGCTTCAATTCACCCACTTCACTAGCACAAGGACATAGGAGCCAGATCTCAATGAAGCCTAAGCTTCCCTTTTACAGTCTCAAACGCCAGTATTTCAAGATCATTCTGTGTCCTTAAACTCCACCTTTTTTTAATTCTACTTATTTGAGTGCTAAAGTGTGAAATATTTGCCTGCTGGGTTCTCCTGAAAAATCTCTAATTTCTTCATGAGTTCACAGGTAGATGAAAAGAATTAGATTACTACAGATCACTGTGGCTTAGCCCTTAACTTAGCATATGAAACACAGACTCTACCTCTTTTTCTTTATTTTCCTCTGCAGACTAGCATAAAAGAAGTAATTTAAAAATAAAAACTATACTAGGTGAATTACATTATCTGTATTTTGGAAACAAAATGCTGCCCAAAATGTTACTTATTAGGGCAATATATTCAACACAGCTCTTGGGGACAACAATGCAACCCTTTTCAGCAAGTCACAAGCACTGCCTGACTAATAAATTCCTTTTTATATGTCACAGCCAATTGGGAAAAGGACCAGGAAACCTAGAAAACAAAGGGTGTCCATCACAGGAGTAGAGCAATGGTTTCAGAGAACAACAGGCCACTGAATCTGGATGGATGGTGTATTTGGAGGAACCAGAGTTAGTGTCAGATTAGAGAGCAGCTCTGTGTCTTTGAAGTCCCCACACACTCCTCTCCAGGTGACTGGGAAAGGTGTGTCAGGGAGGATGAAGTCTGTCATTGGAAAGTCATGACCAGCATACAATGTAAAAAAAAAAATCAACATCACTTGAGTGTAATGATGGCCGATGAGGGGGTGCACTTCAAGCCGCTGCATCTCACTGCACCCAGATGGTCAGGAGAGAAACTTCAGGCAGACCTTCCAATCACAAGTATATATTCAAAGGCATCAAATCAGATGAGGATTAGCAAGGAGTATGTCAGTCCAGAAGCTCATCTGGGGGCACACTACAACCATGTCTGTTTATGGGAATTACTATCCCAAGAAATGTCCTCCAAGAACTGCGGGCTAGAGCAACAATGTGCATTATCCTGATCTCTCCTGAAATGGTCTTCTGGGAAATAAATTAGTCTGGGGAGATACAAGGATAATAGATTGACAACAAGGAAACTAAATCCAGAAACACAGAGGCTATATTAGTGAACTCAGCAGTGCCAGGGAATGTTCCAAGGCATTTGACTTTGATCACTTCATATTAGTTTGTGCTTGGCATGGTCTCAGCCCAGCACACTGCCAAACTATTTCCAGACACCATTTAGGAATTAGCGCAGTTAAAAACCACCACAACAGGCAGTACAGAGGCAAGCACCTTTTCTAAGGTAAGACTTTTCAACAGTATGGATACACATCAACATTTAGCCTGAGAGTCAAGCAAAGGTGCCAGACATGTGATTCAGATGTATAGAAATGGTGCAGCCAGATCGGTGCACCATGCCTTTATGGTGTTGTCTTGCAAGGTCCTCTGACTAAGAGGAATAAATCTTCTACTTGAAGACTCGATTCCTGCAAGGAAGAGCAGTCCTTGCATCTTTCAGCCTATTGACACATGTTTTCCCACTCAAGAACAGAATGATTTGCAAAACACTTTCCTTGGTCAAAGCACGCTTTGGTTGAAACCCTCTCCAACTGGAAAAGTGTAGAAATTTCTGAAAATTTTGATTGCCCTGTCCTTCCTATATCTACCACACTTACTAGCTGCTGGTACATCTGTGGACACACAGTCTGACACACGTTTCTCAGATATTTGTCTGTTCCAGGAGCAAGTTCTACCAACACAAGTCTGTGGTACCTAGTCCAGACTAAAATTTCTCACTGGGCATAAGCTCTTAGGCTGATTTGTCACACTGAAGTGACTTGTGAATTCTGGGATCTCAGCCAAGGACACAGTGGATTTCTCCTTGCCAGCAGAGGCCTACTGCAGTAACTAGCTTAGCATTTTTTTGGAATAAGCTACCTCCTTTGGAGCTATGGGAGTGAATTATCCTATAGTGACCAACTGTCCTGTGGGAATGTACCAGTACCCTTATCCAAGCAGCCACAGGTGGTGTGGTGAGCAGTCCTGGGGATGATGGACACCACTAGTGCTGAGGGCAGTGCTCTTGAACTTCGCATCTCTGAGGAAGCTACTAAAATAGGAATTCTTCAAAAGACAAATGTAGACAGACCAGACAAGGACAAAATGACATCTGCTGTCATGACTGCTAGTAGCACTGAACAAACCTTTAATTGGTCCTTTAATCTGTCACTTAAAATGGGACATTGTTGAAACTCAGAAGCCTTAGGCACTTTTGAGAGCTGAGTGCTCTGTCAAGATGCATAAGGTCAAGACACAGGAGCCAGTCTGTAAGATGCAAAGGAACCAGAGAGGCAAGGAGGATTCATTATGTAGAACGAGAAGCAGATGAACAGAGAAAACAGAACTAAAAGGAGCTTCTCTCTCTCTCTGATCTTGAATATGAAACACCAGTGGAAATAAAACCAAGTGACCTGGGACTCACTTATTAAAATACTCAATTTTTAACAGTGGTCAACTGTAAGAAGAAAGTGGGACAACTGGGAGGAGTGTCAAAGTTGCAAAACAGTTCAGGTATTAGCTTTCCTTATGAGCCCTTCAAAGTTGGCTGAATAGATTGGTCCTTGACTGGCTTTAACAAGGATTTAACAATTTAAGCTTACCCCTCACCAGCCTTTAGAGTATGGCTGCAAGAAGGAAGATAAGGAGAAAATTCAGCTGGCCTCTGGATACATACAACCTGAAAACTGATCTCTGAAACCCTAGCATGTGGGGGTGCAACTACTTCCTCATCCTCAGATGGCTTTCTGGAGATGATTCAAGCTCTGTAATATCCCCAGTGTGAAAGCAGTCTCCAGTGATGCAGGAGTAAGAGTCAGTGGGTGGTGTCTCTGTTCAGAGTCATGGATCTAGTGTCACACAGGCAGAGCTCAGGTCCCTGTCAGGGACAGGCTCAGTGCCTCTCCTTTCCATGTGGTACAGAAAATAGCACTATCCTTGTGCTTTTGGGGAAAAACCCCATGCTGGTTCCAACGCACCTTTCAGTAGCAAAACACCACCATGAGGGTCCACTTAGGTTTGCAGAACTCTTACGAGATTTTCTGTCTTTGATCAGCAGACTGAAATCACTCCTGGCTCTCGGTCTGCAAGTGATTCCTCTGGTGACCCCTGACCTCTGACAACTGAAAGGGGCTAATGGCTGTGAACCCTCTTGTGTCTCTAGTGTCTTCGCTCTGCTGGGTACTCATGACAGTAAAAGGCTACCACCTGTAAGGTGCTTACAGAACAAGGTGATTCAGTTACACTTCCCTTAGCTTGTCTCTTTGGGAAGGGATCTGCAGATATATCAGTAACCAGGGCACTGGCTATCCATGAGAACCAAACTCAGGATCTGCTTGTTCTATCACTTGCAGACACAGTATTAAAACAGCAATGTTTTCCTTACCAAATGCATAATCACTGACAACCAGAAAGAGTCTGGCTTTTAAACACGCAGATTTGGAAAAACTGCAAAAATACATATGTTGCCATTTTGGTGAAGAAATATATTTTTGCTTCCCCCCAGAAAGACCTTATACAAGAAAAGTATCTTTTTTAATTCTGAGAGAAAACCATCATCTTGTTCTCTCAGGAACAAACACATTTCTTTATGTTTTATGGTGTGATTTGAGGCTCTGCCTTGGAAAACTTCGAAGTCACAAAGCTGGAAAGACAGGGTCAAGCCCTTCATTTTTAAAAGTCTGCTCTGTGTCTGAATTTTTTCAAATAGAAAGCTTAGATGACATGACAAAAGCCTATGCAAATCCATTTAAAAAACAGCATTTAAAAAAAAAAATCAGATTTGTAACACAGATTTATGAATCTTTGGAACTGATAGCATCTGTAGTAGCAAACTGACTTCAGAAATGAGCAGACAGAAGTTGTGGCATCTTTCCCAAAAGGAGGAGAAAAGAAAGGAGAGCCAGGTGATTACCACCTGACCCCTCTCAAAACCCAGCCAAACAGGAAACATCCTGGAACTTGGGAGACAAAGAGTTAATTATAACAGGGAGAGATTTCTTGGTCTGATCTAGAAAAAAGGTGAGCTTCAGCACAGACATCTTTATAACCACCCCAGTCTCGGTGTCACAGTTGCTGCAGGAAACACAGAAAGGATTTAGCAGCAGCCCTTCCCCACCATCACTGTGTCAAAGACCTATTTTGGTTTCTCTAGAAGCAGATTATTTTTCAGTGCAGTCCAGAAAAACAAAAGGAATACACCATATCCACATCTAAATTTCTCTGGAAAGAAATCTATCATCAACTAGTCAAAACCCAAGTGATTCTCCTGAAAGCTACACTGTCCTGAGGAGAGAGTTTTCAGAATACGACTGCCTCAAGTGCAGCCATTCGTTTTTTGCAATTTTGTAAGCAGCGCTTTGGGATTTCATATGGTAATTCTAGATCACCACTCGGCCTATTTTAAGATGATGATTTTATTATTCCTATCACCTTCAACAGGAAGTAAACACAGTATTACAAACAATGGAGAACAATAACGTTCACCACCACATTTCCATGTAGACATCTGCAAACAAAACATATTTAGTTCTGGCGCCTCTGAAGCCAAATTACCTTTTTTTTCTTCAGCTTAAAGATGATGATGATGGGTGCAAAAGCAAAAGGATGCGAAACATCTATAGAAAATAGGACTGAAGGGATCTCAAGAGGTCAGCTAATCTGTCTCTTTGCCTCTGAACCTGGATCCACTCTTCCTGACCCATTCTGGACAGAATAAACAGCTCACAAAATCCTTCAGCAAAAGCACTTCCATAGCTCGTCCAGGCAAACCTATGCCCTGGTTTAAAAGGCTTATTGCTAGAAAGCTTCTTTTAGAGTTGAATCCAAACTTCCCTTGCTTCAAATTTAAACCCACCCACAAGGGCACGAAGAATAATTCACACCTTTCTTCTCTGTGACAGCCTTTACACACTGAAATAAATACACTCAGGTCCCTCTACTCAGTGCTCCCTTTCCCAACTAAACAAACCCAACTCTTAATCTTGCCGCTCATGTTCACAGAATCTTGAATTCATTTCATCTTACGAGTGATGTCAGGGTTGAAGAACAAGAGCATGAAAAAATCTTATGGAAGTATCAAATCCCTCAGGGAAATTCAGGCAGCATGAGAAATTGAGACACAATTATTGGGGCTACATGCACTCCTGGAGTGGTTCCAGTAACCTCAGCACTCTGAAAACAGGATGCATGGACTAACTGGATGAAAAAGTACGTGGTTTCACTGCAGTCAGTAGGAACTTCTGCCAAGGACTTCTGTGAGACCCAATCACCCCCTAGTGCTTCACTAAGTAGAGAGGAAGCATGTAACAGGACAACGACAGAATAATTGTATTTCTGATCGTTAGTTTTCCCGTAACACTTTTCTCTTTTCTCCCAGGACACTGAACAAGGAAGGCAAGAGGAAACAGCTAACAAAGTAAATGGCAAGCCAAGTAAATGGCAGAATGTTTTCCAGCAGTTCTACTGTGAAAAGCAACCAAAACATTTGGGGGGGGCAGTAAAAAGAAGGAGTGCGCTTTCAGGACCCCACATTCACTAGCTCAGGGTAAATTCCAGGTCAGATCTCTTTATTTTAGACCATTGTATGTGATATGCTTTTAACCTTTTGAAGAACTTCAAGCCTGGAACTACTGCAGAAAAAGCAGTGTAATGCAATTCTGTCTTCCAAAGCTGTAATTGTGCTTCCCTGATGATAAAGGATAAATGAATACTCCTACTGAAAGTCTCTAGAGCACATCCGCTGATTAAGGTGTCACTTGTCTTGACTACAAAATTGGAGTCAATGGTAGCCTTTTCTTTCTGTGGGCTTCGGATCAGACTGTAATTCTACTGGAAATGGATGGCAAACCATTTAGGAAGATGACACACCTAGCTTACAAGTAGTAAAATAAGGATCATGCAGCAGTCTTCCCCCATGTTACATATTGCTGTTACCCTCCCCTGCCCATGGACTTATTAATCTACCAAAGAATGTACTGCCAGAACAGCTCTTAAACTGCTGATTAGCTCGTAAGAGAAAGTCTTAGATCCTCAAAGGGATTCTGGCTGGTGGAAAGGCATTCCTTCAACATGCCAGCATCGCAAGGGAGCCCTGTTTCCACCTTTGCCTTACCTCCCACTTCTTCCCCGTACCAGGGAAGAAAAGCAATACTCTTTGGAAAGGAAAGAGAATCTTCTCTAGTCCCATCACTGCAAAACCAGCCATGCCCCCTTCCTATATGCCTTTCTCTAAAGATGACAACAGCAGAGCAAGAGAGTCATGTGCCTCCTCTCTTTAGCTCAAGGCAGTCCTGAGGCTTCTTGGGGTGATTACTTTACACCAACCACACATCTCTACGAACGAGATGTAGAAAGTGAGGTGATGTGAAAGATGCTGCCCTCTTCTAGCCAGCACTCTCAGCCCTAAAGGTAAAGGCACAAAGTCTTCGACTATGCCCAGAATGAGCTTTGTTTCTCTGCATGTGAAGTAATTTTCCCGTCAGTCCAAGGTATTTGTCTGGACTGGACTGGAACAGACAATCGGCTCCATTGAGATCTCTGCTGGGAGAAGGTGGCTTTACACCCACATCCCAAGGCCTTATTTAAGAATGAGTCTGATTTCTCTCTTCCAGCCTGCTTGCAATTTCTCTCCAAAAAATTCATTAGCACGGGACATGGACTGGACTATGTAAACGTGAAGCAGTTACTACCTATACAGAAGAAAACTATCTCATAAATCACCTTGACTGAAGCTTACAGGAGCAAAGCCAGGCATAAGCCAGTTCCCACCTGGAGGCTGCCCAAGTGTATTAGGCACAGTATGGTCTCTTGGCAAGAGAAGGAAAACTCTGACATTGAGAAAGTCACATAATGGATTCTGCTGGGTCCAAAGTACCTGAGAGAGTCTTGCTAACAGCTCCGGTGTTGTGACATGTAAGATTCACACAGTGTATTCCAGGTCCAAGACACAGGCTGGGAAAATGTCTCCAACCATACTTCTTATAAAGCTCATCAGAAATGGCATTTCTTGGTGATTCCCCCTAGCAGAACATCTTCCTCACTACTTTGACATTACCTAATACACTCATGAACAGAGGCTGCAATCCCAGTTGAGACCAGTAGCCCTTGTGAGGCTGCACACCCTGCCCTGACAAGAAGTTCATTTGCAGATGATGAACTTGAAACAGGTAAGATCAGAAGCCAATGAGCCTGTAAGACCTATGGCAGGTGTTAGGACTTCTAGCAGGACCATGCATCCCACACATACATTGTTCTCAAGAAAGTGAGATTTCAGATATGCAAATCTACTCAGGTAAACGTCTCATACAGACAATATAGATAAAAGATGATTTTTTTTTTTATTTTACTCCCAATTCCACTGTTCTGCAAGCGGCAAAAACTAAAATAGGTCCTTCTACTCTTTGTTGGCATGCTTAGACCTCATGAAACCTAAGCACAGAGAAATGACAATTTAACACAACCAGAAATTGAAGCTCTCTCTTGTCTGCAGTATTTCCATAGTTAACAAGTGTTAGGCTGTCAAAAGCCTACGGACAGGGGGATATCACTTTGTCCAATTTATCATCTTTCATATTAGATTGTTGTCAAGTTATCCGTAGTTAATCAGGAGACAAACCAAGACAATAAACCAATAGCAGGAAACTCAATCCAAGGCATGTGTTTCTATTCTGTGGTTCTGACACAATGTACCGAAAGATAAAGGGAGAAGTCAACTTCTGTTTTATTTATGCAGTCATAGAACAATGGAGGATTTAATTTCTCTCTTTTCAGGCTGAAGTTTCCTTCTAAACGAAATGTCCTCTTTCCTTACAAATGCAGTTGACTCCTATCATTAACAATTCCCTTCGCTGGAGAAACAGATGAGGCAGTATTGCCAGGTCTTTCATTAACAGAAAAGCAAACTCATTACGTACACTAGCTGTCTTCTACGGGCTTCGTAGCCCACTTGAATGGTGACATAGGATGTATAGAGAGATTACTACAGAGGTACTATTTTTAAACTCCTAATTTCTATGCGGTATACTTACACTGCCCATTCCAGCTTCTCATTCTTGATTGAATTGTAGAGGGCCTGCAAAGAGAGAAATGAGATGGGATTATTGTTTGACCCCTGCTACACATACATTAATATCCTGAGGAAAATTACCTAATACCAGCAAGTGAGCTGTCTCTTGCCAAGGAAGTACCATAACTGCTCATGGTAACACAAATCTCATCTAAGGAAAAAATACCAGAGCACAGGGTTTGAGATTACACTTATTTCCTCAAGCAGGTTTTGTAGTTTTGTGGTTTTTTTTTTTAAATAACTGTGTTAACTTTGCAAAAGCCACAAGTCCACAGCCTTGAAATTCAAGGTCCAATTAACTGCTGATAGTCAGTGAGATGTTTTTGTCATTGACTTTGATTGAGCCAAAATTTCACCCTGTGGGCTTACCTGTAAAACTACGCCAGAATAGCTATTCAAAGTCCCTGATCCTCACAGACACCTAAATGCTTTCCCAGTTGCATACCCAGACAGAAACACATTCAATTTCTGAGTGCAAAACAAAATGAACAATAAGCAGGTTTTGGGCTTAAAGATCAATGTCTTGGACTGCTGCCTGCTAACATCATTACATTTTTAATTCATAGGAAAGATGCCAGCAGGTCTGACACCAAAGGTCACAATTCTGCTGTTGATACCAGCCTGCAAAGAAATGTGTCTGGAAGCTGACTTAAGCCTGGGTGGATATCAGAGAGTTGGCACGGATTTCTTTTGAGAGGAAGTAGGTACATCACTTGGATAAGTGCGCCTGATTTCAGCTCTCCAGGAGCTGATGCATAGGATGGGTAAATGCCTGCTATTACTACAACCTAATGGAGTTCTTCAAATAGGCCACTTGACTCAAATGAAGTATTTTGGTATGGAATGTCCCTGATTCTCACACTTATAATCCACATTTGTAATTTACCTTATATACATAGCTAGATTTACTCCCTCTGGCACATAACTCCTACACAGCCTCAAAATATGTTAACGTGTAGAAGAACTGTTGGTGCACACGATTACCAAAAAGTAGCACATCAAGTATGAACAAGCCTGAAAATCACATACTATAATAGCTATGACATGTTCAACAGCAACATTAACATTTAAATAGCCTTAACTCTGACCCAAAACAAAAATAATGTGGAAAACTGACGAGCTGAAACTAGTCTTGTGCATATGCCACAGCTGAACTTGCAATGAGAATCCCATGAGCATATCCCACTGCTCATCCTGTGATCCACTGGCTCCTCTCTGAATCTTGCACAAGCTATTTGACGATCCTAATATTCAGTTCTGTGAAAATCTGTCTCGATTGAACATACACAAGCAGGTCAAACATACTGGTACAACTTGCCTCACGCTCATGCTACACATGCAGCAACTTTTAGTCAGAGTGTACCATAAAAGTAGGTTTCTCAGAGTAACAGAACAGATATGACCAACAGGAGGAATTATCCCACATCCTACTTATACTGAGCTACAAGAGAGAGGTCTCCTAAATGCTAACAAGGGCTTTGCTGCACTATTCATAGCAGTACGATAAAATATTTCCAACTCTGGAGTTTTCACTATTTCTATATATCCTATCTTCTCTAAACTTGTATAAGAAGCTCCGATCCAAAGGCAAACAGCTGAAGGTGAAGGAAAGGGCATTGCTGGCAGTTTGTAGGCACCTCACTTAATTTTCAGGTGACAGCTATCAAGAGATTTTAAGACCAACCTACAAAAAGAGAGCAAAAGAAAGGGCTAATATTTCTCCTACCATGCAGCCAGCAGCCCAGGAGAATTACACTCAACTCCATTTTTCTGCACAAGCTGATGCTGATTCTCTGGGGTCACTCAACATTTTCTACTAGAAGCCACTATATTTATAATGATTTGGCCAGAGCCCTGATCTTATTCTTTGACTTGTTCTTTATTTCCTACTATGATTAAAATATTCTCTTACATTTTGAGCCAGAAAACTACTTCCAAACATAAGGCAAAGAGGCTGCATTTTTTTCCCCAGTTGCCTTCTCATTTTTTCAGAAGCAGCATTTTTCTTGCAGGCTGGTTGGATGAGCTTCTGAGATGTAGCAAAAACCTGGCCTGGGGTACCAGAAACACCTTTTGCTGCTCTCTGGCCCAAATGCCTACAAGATTGTGTCACAACCTCTGAAAATGAACACCTGCCCCAGGCAGTACTGATTTTGATCTGATTTTGCTAAGGAAGTCCCTGGGGATCATTATGGCCAAAGATCAGGACACACTTAAGCAGCACTCCAGATTGGCTCAGGAAGAACAAATGCCCCAGGCTTTTGCCTTGCAGCAAGTGACACATACTTGTCTTGATCTTTACTAATGAGTCAGACTCCATCTTCATTCTTTAGGGAGGACACCAACCCAGTCCTTTGGCATACATCTGATGAAGGACACAGTATCCCCCATAGAGCACGAAATACAGCCTCTGAGAAAGTCTCTGCTATTTACAGAAATGAAAGAAAATCCTACACAGTACCCACAGCCCAGGAAGCTGTGTACAGGGCACATTTGGTGTGTCCACAGAGTGTGTCCAGTGAGACCTCAGTGAGCAGACCTCTCAAGGGATGAAGATACATGAGTTCTTGTGCCTGCACCCCCAACCCAGCTCTCCATCAGAGACTGCTGCCAGGCTGCACACTCACCACCTGTAAGAGCTGCTTTATGTTCTTTCTCCAAACCAATTTATGCTTTAACATTTTCCTGGTGTCTACTGGGCTCTTGCATGATCCGGGGAAGAAAATTTTCCTCCTCCCATGTTTTGCAACCAGTGGCAGACATGTACAGCACCTGTTCTGTCATTTAATTCATAGCTGTTTCCCAAGGCAGCATTCAGACAGCAGCTCTTTTCAGCAGCCATTTCTCCAGAGTATGATTAAATCAAACAAACTTGGAGGCAAGCACTTAAATGCTTCACTAGATTGCAACAAAGCTGATCAGAAATTATGGTGGGGACATGACTTTCACTATACTTAAGCAGCTGCAAGGACATATTTTATTAACTCACGTTTTCTCTCTGGGACCTGGGAGCAGGGGGAAAGCTCTGCTTTAAAGTACTCTTACACTTTGACAACAATCACAGCTTCTTACCTGCTAGCATGGCAAGTGCTTGGCAAATTTGCTGTCTAAGCTAGAAAACTGGAAGCTGGACCACAACAGGGAATACCAGAACAAATACTGCATGAGTCTCATCTTCCAAGCTGGACCAATACCACTTGGAAAGGGGAGAGACTTTCTATCTCTTTCAGCAGCCAAGGCTACTGTAGGCAGGATCCACCCCCCCAGCTACCAACTACTCAGCACTGCTTCAACCCTTAAGTTCAATTACCAAGACCATGAGAACCTTACAGCTTTCCCCTCTCTGAGAACTGCTGATCTCTGGGTCCACCACACCTGAAGCTCAGCACTGCTCTAAGCTCCCTGGAGAAACTAATGCAGTTTTGAAATAAGAATAAAAGAAATTAACTGCTGTATAAAACAAAACAACAGGGAACATCCTCCAATTTGACTCCTGCGCACTGCAGTGTAAAAAATAAAATAAAATTAAAAAAAAAAAAAACAGAATTTATTATGTGTTTGTGGGATTTGTTTGTATTTGTTCACAAACTAGGAAAGAGACTAAGAAATTTACACTTTTTTCCTTTTTCTTTCTTTTTCTAAATGGAAGGCTGCAACTCTGTGAGAAACTGCCAAATTCCTTCTCCATTTTCCCTTTGATAAGCAGGTAGGTCAACCAAAAATCCAGATTTCCATAAGCTCTCACCAGTTGATAGTTTTATTCCAATTGGAAAGAGAAGCAAAGCTATGCAGGGAGTGCTTTGAAAACTCCTGTTCATTTTACAAAGCTGGCAAGAGAAAAAGGTCACTTGCCATCCTCACCTCCCTCAAAACCTTGTCACATGCAGGAACCACTGGACCCATTTATACAGGCAGCTCTCGGCACCTGCTGACTGCTGGCCATGCTGTGAGTCAGCCTCTGCATGCTGAAGCCCTGAACAAAAGAAAGGCACAACCAGGTGTACTTACAGGGACAAAGCCATAACGAATTACCCAGATATGCATCTCAGTAAATCACAAGGCTGGCTCTTGAAGCACACTACTGACTTTCTATACACACTAGCCCACCCAGAAAAGTCTGCCAAGAGAGGAAGGAGTACACCACAGGTATTTCTTATATCTGCTCTGGGCACAAAATAGGAGCCAGAAATGCCTGAGTGTGAGTAGCTAAATGGGCAAAACCAAGTTCAGAGAGCCAGCAGGGATGACCCAGACTGTCTTCTCCAGCTTGTGCTTCCCAGGCTTTCTGCTCACACCCAGTTCTACCCTGGTTTCATAGAATCATAGGACAGTTTGGGTTGGAAGGGACCTTAAACTTCATCTAGTTCCAGCCCCCCTGCCATGGCCAGGGACACCTCACACTTGACCAGGTTGCTCAAAGCCCCGTCCTACCTGGCCTTGAACATTGCCAGGGATGGGGCATCCACAGCTTCCTTGGGCAGCCTGTTTCACTGCCTCACTACTCTCACAATAGAGAATTGCTTCCTTATATCTAACCTACATCTCCCCTGTTTAAGTTGTTGTTGGGGGAATGGCCATCTGACCATTACAGGCGATACCCTGAGTGGCTTTTGCTGCCCATGGGACAGGGATGCACTTGTGCTCTCTGACCTAAGCCACCATCCCCTGCAGCCACTGTGAGAAGAAGCCTTGCCTGGGGACATTTCTTCTTTCCCTCCAGCTTGTAATGGCATGGTTGATCCCAGCCAAGGAAGCACCAGTCACAGCCCTGTGCAAAGGTGTGCTCAGTCTTTGCTGTCATAAATGCTCAGTCAGAAGTTCAGCATCTCCCCCAGCTGCTCACACCAGTCCATTGGCTCTATGCTGGGATCACAGCTGTCAGCCAGGCACCACACCCAGCTCCCACTATACATGGTTTATCAGAGGGAGAAAAAATAAGTAGCAGAACTCTATAAAAATAAAACTGGTTACAGAAGCAACAGATACCAGACACCACAGGTGTCTGT